AATGACAGGGGAAAGGGGAGAACCCATTGGTGTTCCAGATATTTGTTTGTAGAAATTGCCTCTAAAAGAAAAAATATGTTGAAAGGAGGCATTTTTCGGCAAGATCTGCCAAAACCAAAGACTTGTTATCATTGGTCAAGTGATCTCGCAGAAACAACTAGAGAGTCATGTATGGGGATATTGGTAAATAGGGATGATACATCGAAACTGACGAGAATATCTTGCGGATCGACTGTGAGAGAGGAGATTAAGGTAATGAAATGTGTGGAATTTCGGACATAAGAAGAGGTACGACCAGTATAGGTCTTAAACTGATTGGACAAGTACTTTGCGAGTTTGTAGGTAGGAGAGTTAATCGTAGTCACAATGGGACGAAGAGGTACGTTATCTTTATGGATTTTCGGAAGACCATAAATTCTGGGGCAGATGGAGTTTTTTGGAACTATGGACTTCTTAACATCATCGGAAAGATCGGATTGTTTGATGGCATGGGAAATTTCGCGTTCGACTCTAGGAGTGGGGTCTCGAGAAATTGTATTATAACAGGATGTATCCCTAAGTAAGTCGTTTACTTTCTCTATGTAGGAAGGAGTATCCAGGATGACTGTGGCATTACCTTTGTCTGCAGGAAGGATTATTATCTCAGAAAGAGAACGGAGATTTTTGAGAGCTGTGAATTCCTCACGAGATATATTGGAAGTAGGGATTTTGGCTGTATCAAGACATTTAGCGACGTCAAAGCGGATACGGTCGGCTGGAATTTTGGGAATTGTGCGGAGTGCCGCTTCCACATTTGAAACTATTCTTCGGTAGGAATTCTGGAAGGAGTAATAGCAAAAATTAAGACCTTTAGATAGAAGACTGCTTTCTGCACTTGTTAATTGGTGAGAAGAAAGATTAACGACGGTGTTAATGAGAGGTGAATGAGAAGTAGAAGTGGTGGAATGTGATTTTTTCTTAGATACAAGGGATTGGAATTTCTTTTTGTGAGTTTCGTTGCTTAGAAGAAGGATTTTATCGGCTTGATGATAGGAAATGCGGTCTAAAAGTGACCAATCATCGACACTAAGAATACTGGAGAGTTCAAGATGCAGCTTAAAAAGTTTTTGGGATTGAAAATTAAGGGTTTTTCGGATATGTTGGATCCGTTCACGAAGTAGAGATAGGCTGGCTCGATGTAGAATTCGGGAAGAAGATGAAGAGGAAATGTGATGTTTTAGAACAAGAAAATTGGGAACCAAGTTATTATCACGACATCTAGAGAGGAAGGTGAGCGAAGAAAGTAGAGATGAAACTTTAGAGCGAAGATTGGAGAACTCTGAGGTTTTGCGGAATATAACCTCCCCGTAGAGGTTGGTCAAATGAAATCGTAGGCTTCCACGGCCAGAGTCAGAATTATAGTTTATTCGTCTTCCGGGTTTGGACCGTGTCATTTGTGAGTGACCCAAAAGTGGGTTCATCTCGACGTTTCGCTACAATTATATGTAGCTTCTTCAGGAGAACAAAGAAAAGGAAAAAAGAAAACAAAAGAACAGGAAGATGGGTAGTTAGCAACGGTAACTCAGTTACTCAACGCAACCAGAGGCGAATACTAACTACCAAGATGGGCATTTGGTCACAGTAACTCAACTACTCAACGCAGCCAGAGGTGAAAACCAAATGCCAGGACAGGGATTCACGTCCAACAGCTCAGAACACTAACGCGTCGAGAGGCGGGAGTGAATCCGACGATTACTCCGCTACCGCTCTATTTATAGTTGCGGTGCCTGTCGTGTCGGGACGTATCGGCACACTTCGTGGCGCGAACGTCAAGAAGCGCGCGCTGGCCAATCATGTGGCTGCATAGTGGTGGCGGGACCGGACGGTGGCTCTAGACTGAGATTCCAGATGGGAGACAAGTAGTATCCTTCCTCTCGATTGATGTTGTGGGGATTTTTTCGGATCTCTAGAGATTCGCGGATTTTCCTGGAATAAAAGAAGGGGCTCTTAGAAATAATATGGGTTTTTTCGAACAATATGGAATGACCGGTTTCTTGGCAGTGTTCGGCAACTGCAGAATGGGAGAAAAGACCTGATCGAATGCATCTTTGATGCTCTTGAATCCGAGTTTTGACGGAACGACCAGTTTCGCCAATATACACATGTCCACATGAACAAGGAATAGAATAGACACCACAGGAAGATAGGGGCGGTAATGAGTCCTTAGGAGAGGGTAGATATTGAGAGATTTCTTGGGTGGTCGAAAAGTAGTCCTGATACCTTCTTTGCGAAGAATTTTGCCAATCCTATCAGTGACATTTCGAATATACGGAAGAAAAGCCACAGGAGTATTACCCGAAGATTCTGAATTTGTTGTCCTAGGGTGTAAAGGGGGATTTAGATGTCGGTGTTGTAATATTTTGAATTGTGGACTTGGAGTAACCATTGGCGACAAGGGTTTTTAACCTAGAGTCGAACGCGAAATTTCCCATGCCATCAAACAATCCGATCTTTCCGATGATGTTAAGAAGTCCATAGTTCCAAAAAACTCCATCTGCCCCAGAATTTATGGTCTTCCGAAAATCCATAAAGATAACGTACCTCTTCGTCCCATTGTGACTACGATTAACTCTCCTACCTACAAACTCGCAAAGTACTTGTCCAATCAGTTTAAGACCTATACTGGTCGTACCTCTTCTTATGTCCGAAATTCCACACATTTCATTACCTTAATCTCCTCTCTCACAGTCGATCCGCAAGATATTCTCGTCAGTTTCGATGTATCAATCCCTATTTACCAATATCCCCATACATGACTCTCTAGTTGTTCTGCGAGATCACTTGACCAATGATAACAAGTCTTTGGTTTTGGCAGATCTTGCCGAAAAAATGCCTCCTTTCAACATATTTTTCTTTTAGAGGCAATTTCTACAAACAAATATCTGGAACACCAATGGGTTCTCCCCTTTCCCCTGTCATTGCTGACATTTTTATGGAAGCCTTATGAGTCTTTGAGCCCTAGAATCTTACCCCTTAAAACCAAAAGTCTGGTTCCGCTACGTTGATGATACATTTATCATCTGGCCCCATGGTCAACATACCCTTTCTTCCTTCCTAGATCATCTTAACTCACAACATCCGAGTATAAAATTCACAATGGAAGTAGAAAATAATCGGTCCCTTCCCTTTCTCGATGTGTTAGTCACCTCCAAGCCCAATGGCCGATTGGGTCACTCTGTTTATAGAAAAAAGACTCACACGAATCGTTACCTACATGCTTCATCACACCACCATCCTGCCCAAAAGAATTCTGTGATCAACTCTCTCATCCATCGGGCCATTTCGATTTCTGAACCCGACAACCTTAGAGAAGAACTTGGCCATCTGCAAAAAAACCCTTGTCGCCAATGGTTACTCCAAGTCCACAATTCAAAATATTACACACCGACATCTAAATCCCCCTTTACACCCTAGGACAACAAATTCAGAATCTTCGGGTAATACTCCTGTGGCTTTTCTTCCGTATATTCGAAATGTCACTGATAGGATTGGCAAAATTCTTCGCAAAGAAGGTATCAGGACTACTTTTCGACCACCCAAGAAAAATCTCTCAATATCTACCCTCTCCTAAGGACTCATTACCGCCCCTATCTTCCTGTGGTGTCTATTCTATTCCTTGTTCATGTGGACATGTGTATATTGGCGAAACTGGTCGTTCCGTCAAAACTCGGATTCAAGAGCATCAAAGATGCATTCGATCAGGTCTTTTCTCCCATTCTGCAGTTGCCGAACACTGCCAAGAAACCGGTCATTCCATATTGTTCGAAAAACCCATATTATTTCTAAGAGCCCTTCTTTTATTCCAGGAAAATCCGCGAATCTCTAGAGATCCGAAAAAATCCCCACAACATCAATCGAGAGGAAGGATACTACTTGTCTCCCATCTGGAATCTCAGTCTAGAGCCACCGTCCGGTCCCGCCACCACTATGCAGCCACATGATTGGCCAGCGCGCGCTTCTTGACGTTTCGCGCCACGAAGTGTGCCGATACGTCCCGACACGACAGGCACCGCGACTATAAATAGAGCGGTAGCGGAGTAATCGTCGGATTCACTCCCCGCCTCTCGACGCGTTAGTGTTTTGAGCTGTTGGACGTGAATCCCTGTCCTGGCATTTGGTTTTCACCTCTGGCTGCGTTGAGTAGTTGAGTTACTGTGACCAAATGCCCATCTTGGTAGTTAGTATTCGCCTCTGGTTGCGTTGAGTAACTGAGTTACCGTTGCTAACTACCCATCTTCCTGTTCTTTTGTTTTCTTTTTTCCTTTTCTTTGTTCTCCTGAAGAAGCTACATATAATTGTAGCGAAACGTCGAGATGAACCCACTTTTGGGTCACTCACAAATGACACGGTCCAAACCCGGAAGACGAATAAACTATAATTCTGACTCTGGCCGTGGAAGCCTACGATTTCAATCCATTTTTCTCTTTGAACTATTTTATGCTTGGCAACAGGAAATGAATAAAATTTACAATGACTGCTGTACCCAGTATTTTTACATGTATCATATATTTTTCTTTTTGAAAAATCCATATTCGCCATTATTTGAATGTTTACAAGTTAAATGCACAAAACTGCCACTAACAGCGTTGGTGAAAACTGTCAAATCCCCTCTACTCATCGGCTCACAGGGAATAGAACAAAAATACGGTATTATGTTTAATTTGGATGCAGGACTTGAGCCAGTCGCTTATACGTATTTCAACTTCATTAGGTCTCATCAGAGCGACATATGCAGTTGCTCTGAATCGACACGAAATCTCAGGCAATGGGCCTGTTACCTTTCTTATATACCGTAGGTCCAAGAGAAAGTAGATTGTTATAATGCCAAATACGAACTAGCATAACGTATAAAGGAAGACGATTGTTTAGTAACTCGTCAATATTACCATATCAATGGCATGTTTTAATTTAATCTAATTCTAATTAAACTAAAATAAAGCCTAAACATCAACTTTTTTCAGAATAGTTTACTATCAGCCGCCCCATACGTGGCTATGGGATTGTGTTCAGTAGTATTTAGTCCTGTCTGTGATTATTTGATAAATAGAAATATTGTTAGCCGCGGAAATGCCAGGAAAATATTTAATAGTATCGGTAAGTATTTATTTATGCAAGGAAAGAATAAAAATATATAACAAATAGCCCAAACTAATGTTATTTTTTATGGATATGTATCATAAATACTTCATTAATGCAGATTGGATTAAATTCAGCGAAATCATGGAGAAAGTGAAGAAAATTTTGTGTCTATAAAGGTCGATTTCATACCCACAAGCTGAAACTTGTAATCGATATAATTATAATGTCAATACGCTATGTTTAAAAATATACCAAAAATTTTTCATGAAAACCTATGTATTTATATCAATTTTTAAACAAATTATAAAAAATTGCTTTTTTCGCTTCGAAACCACTTTTTCAATAATTTGAGTTATTCTATCATGGTAGATGCGGGAAAAGTCAGGAATTAGAAATAATAGAAGAAAATAGAAAAGAATGAAAGATATGGGTGAAAGGAAACTAAAATAGCTAGCTCAAATCTGAAAGGGTAAAAAAAGGGAAAAAGAAAGAAATAAAGAGTTAATCTAGGATAAAAGTTATTCTTGTGCGTTTTTATGTAATATGCTGACTTAATTAACTATTAAATCACTAATAAACAATTAAAAATGCTGAAAAAAAAAAACAATTTGATCGTTTTTGAGTTTATTTTTTAATAGGTTGGATATCGATAATTAAACAAATTTAAAGACATTAAAAAAAGACAAAAAATATGAGATAAAACCTTAAGTTAACAAATTGATATAACGTTGCGTTTCGGAATAAGAAACGTTCTGGGTAAGAAATAATGAATGTAAACAAGAGGAATCATAAGATTTCTTACCTAGTGAAACTGAATTTAAATCTTTACCACTGTGCTTTCTACAACTTGCAAAGCAAACAGCTTGATGAATTGATGATACGTTAATCATGGATAAAATTTGTAATCAATTCAGTTTCTAGTACTCATTACACGTACTTCTACATTATGTTTTATTTCTTTAGAATACCAGAACATCAATATAAAAATCTCTATGTTGTATAACAATTTGTTTATGGATTTTTAAACGAATTTTTGTATATAAAATCAAAATGGAATTATTTATTTTGAAACTAGTTGACTTAAGATTTCATCTCATATTTTTTGTTTTTTTTTTAATCGTTCAAATTGTCTCAAACTCTAAAATTGATCTTTTTCTGCGTGTATATTTTAAGAAATAATCATAAGAATAACTTTTATTATTGTTCTGAAGCTATTTTCTTGTGGCATTGTAAATTAATTACTATTAAACTGGGAATAAGCCACAATTAAAGATAAAAATACGTTTATTGACGTTTCAATTTCCACTTCGGAAATCGTTCTCAAAATACAAACAGTAAATTAAACAAATTTTGTTTTTTGTTACATAGTGAAAAAGTCTTCTAATAATTTAATTTTATCTGACTCATTTATATTGACTATTCAGACATACATTATGCATTTTAATGTAGACGACTTTAAAATGATATTGCCAATATTGTTGAGTTGCGCTCCTGGGACGACTTTACTTATAAGATAGTTCATTCAATTACATGAAATCAACTTTAACTTGAGAATATCCGTCAGAAAAAAAATCATAGCATGTAATTCGTCTTTAAAAAGACATGACATGATGACAGTAAAATTCTCCTGTTAGTGATTCCATAGTAAATTATGAGGGAAAACCAGGAAAAAAAAACCTCATAATACTATCCCGACATTGTAAGTATTTGTTCGTGAATAATTATATGTTATAATTATTTTATGTCAAAATCGTCTTTCATATCGATGAATAGTTCCTTCAAAGACTTTATACTAATTAATATACCTCGTTAAAAAGGTAACAAGGTATTAAAACCAACTTTTCTAAGATTTTGCATGGTTTCTCTCCATTTTGTCCAAAATTTTATTTTGTTGAATTAAAGCTAAACCATACGCTTTGCAACGATCTCGTGAATCACTTTGAGGTACTTTTGAATTAAATACATCAAACCAGGCATTGGTGAGTTTAAATAACTCCGAACATTCAAGCCTGTTGTTTTCACTCTTAAAAATTCCCAATAACCCTAGCCTAGAAATTGCTTTCGATACTGTGTGTGAAAACAATTTGGTAGCTAATTTAACTTTTTGTCGTTGAGCGCCCTTAACTGTTAAGAAATCATCATTAATTTGATGTGCAATATTCAAATCTAAATTTTGTGTATTGTGGAATAAATCTAAACTTTTCATTTATGATAAATCCATGGTCAAGAAAATGGTTCCTCAAAAGTTTAAGCATATGTGGAGCATCTGCAAACACATGCACTCTTTTTTTACTTATTGGATTTGTACACCATCTTGTTTCTTCCGTTATATTTAAAGACTTCCACAGTCCCCTATTGCTGCTTCCTAAATCATAGTTAATAGCATAAACAGGATAGAATATATTTTCTAATTCTGAAATAATTTCAAATAAAAAGCTGTTTCCAGTTTCCGCATATTCCACGAGCCCTGATCACTTGCACATATTGGCTAGGTCCTAAGGTTGTCATTCTTTTTATCATAGTTATAAGAACTTTAAATTTTCATTTCATCAAAAAGTAATACACATACTCTTTTCATCGCTGAGAGAAAATTGTTTTTTATTAGTTTCAGCACTGTATTAAGTATTCCTGAAAATTAAAATAATACTTATTACTCATATAAAATTAACTACTGATAAGTGTTTATGAAGAATCCTAGAATTATTATAAATACCTGGTTGGATGTGTATTGCGCTCTCCCATCTTCTTATAAGAGTTATTGCTTTTGTCAAGCATATACTCGATGTGTAATTTCCGTGTTAACTTTTGATCTAGAAACATACCTAGATATTTTATTATAACAGGTGATGTTAAAAAATTTGCTAACAAACCTAAAGGGTCATATATAGACATTAAGATTTGTAAAATTTCTCGCTTTGTTTGCTTTCTTAATCCACTTAAAACATCTTTGTTTCCTTTATTACATTTTAAATTAAAAATAAAATTATCTCCCTTTAAACCCCACCACATTCCTAGAACCTTTTCCATGTTCTTATTGTTCCCTAGATCTAGGTTGACTTCTTCGTTATTTCCGTTAGTGGCGTTCATGATTTTCATTAATTTTTCAGAGTTTGATCTCCAGTTTCTTATTTCAAAATTTCCGCTGGCGTGAATTAAGGCAATTTCTTTTGCTAATTGGATAACTTCATCCTCAGTGTCTGTTGATTCTAAGAGATGATCGACATAATGATTATTTACTATGGAATCAACAGCGCTAGGATATTCTACACTAAATTTCTTCGCATTAGCGTTTTTAACTAATTGTGCACAACTGGGTGAGCAGGTAGCTCCGAAGGTCATCACAGTCATGACGTAAACTTCCAAAGGATTATCAGAGCTACCATTGCGCCACAAGAATCGTTGTGCATGTTGACCTTCTTCTATTATACCTACACGAAGAAACATTTCCTTGATGTCTCCAGAAAAGCCAATCTTTCTTTCACGAAATCGTAGGAGGACGCCTAATAGAGAAGCAAGTTGGTCATCTCCTTTTAATAACATAGAATTTAAGGATATTCCCTGTACGGCTGCTGCTCCATCTCAAACTAATCTGAATTTGTCAGGTTTGTTAGGATTAAAGGCCGGAAATATGGGAAGATACCATGTTTTTTTCTTGATGCTGTAAAATGATGCTGTAAAAAATTTTAACTGCTAAAGCAAATCCAGAGTTTTAAGTTTTTCCGGTTTAGGAGGTGGCAATCTACGGATAGAATTTATTAGCTTCAATAATTTGCTCAGGTCTTCCAAAAAGTATTTTTAATGTAGCTATAATTTGGGGCACACACTGAGGTAAAATTAAAAAACTTGAAACACTGACTCTTGCTGGACCTTTTAAACATTTTTGTAATCTTAATAAATTCTCATGATTAACTTGATGATAAGCTTGACATAGCTCAGTAGATCTTTCAAAACTACTAATAAAAACAGGCCAATCATGTGGATTGCCATTAAAAATAGGGAGATCTCCAGGATCTCTTCTTTTATATAATATACCTGAACTTTTATCGTTATAAGTTGGCAGAGGTTTACCAAGTGTTGGAGTTAGAGGGGCAACATTGTCGATAAAGGGCTTATCTATATTTAAAGAAAAGAATTTATTGACCAAAGAGTTAGTTTCAATTATTTCCTCTTCATCGATGTCCTGACTATCATTCGAGCACTCATCTTCTTCTATGATTCTCCTAGACTCCTTGGTTAACTCTCTTTCTTGACGTAATAGATCTCGTTCTTCCTACAGAAGTTGAAGCTTCATTTTTGTTTTGCTGCTTGTTGATGAGGAACTTTTTAAGGAGGTTGCAGAACAAGATTTCTTGATTTTGGAACCTTGTCGGTGAGGCTTCTTAGTGGCTGCGTCTACACAAAAAGGGCACTTCCAGCTGTCATCACCAATTACTTCGGAATCATCCTGTACATTTACGCATTCAAAACAGCACCATTTTTTACATTCTGTACATTCTACCATCCGTTCTTCACGATATGGTTTGCGGCACACAGGACATAGATCAATTTTGGTTCGTCCAGCAACTGATGGACCCATATTCGTAGACCTTGTAAGATTGTGTGATTCAGCAATCTCGTGTGATGAACAGAATTTGAGCTTGTTGGGAATTTATCTTTATTGAACAGCCAGCAATTGAAGGATTTGTAGTTTACTGTTTTTATTTGCGTAAAAACAACTCAAATTCCTACAATACAAAAACAATATAAAAAAAAACTAATTAATTCCCATTACTTACTGTTCTCTTGCTGTCTGCTAAATTATTAAATTATTTAAATTTTTCTCTAATCGGTGACAGTTTGTTTTCTGACGTTTTGATATTATATTTGACATATTTTATAGAACAGTAGCAACGGGAAATTTTGGGTAACATGATAGAACTAAAAATTAACTAAATACATTTTATACAAATAATAAATATTTGTAACAGGTGATAATACATATTAGCATAAACATAACGTATTGGCATAATAATAAACATAGTATATGGGCAGGGCATTCTCCAGCAGTTTCAGGTTGTGGGTATAAAATCAAGTTTTTTCGACAAAAGCCACCCGCCTATATTTACAGGAGTTCAAACATCCATGTAATAAAATAAATCAGACTAAGGGTACTAAATTTGATAAGTACAATCTAGTGAAGAGAAAATTCTTTTAATGAATGAATTCGAATTGTCTAATAGAAAAAAGTGTTCCATTGCAAGCAATCTCTAACGGATTGACTTTTTGTTTTAGGTACTCTGCTTCCGGCTCTTAGTCTGGCATTACTTGGTTTTATTCCAAAAGAACATTCATATCTCTCAGTAGCACTTTTGATTTTTAATGGTGGAATTACAGCAGGAGGTTTCTGTGGATTCCAGGTGAACCATGTTGATCTGTCGCCTAACCATTCCGGAATTCTCATGGGGATCACGAACAGTTCGACCAGTATATTTTCGATTATTTCTCCACTTATCGTGCAGTTTATCGTCACTGATCTGGTAATATTAAAGGAAATATTTTTTATAGGGTGGTAAACTTAGACCGAGTTCGATATCTACATTGTGAGGAAAAATAGAGGAAAAAGTTTTTAAAAAATCATAAATAATCATAAAAAAATATTTAGAATTTGAATTTAAGTTTTTTTAATTGAAAACCGTGTAAACTATTTTGAATTTATTTTCTACTTATATTTTCCATCATATTAATATGTAATATGTTTCACTATCTTACATTGGCGCCGGCATGGCAGAGGAGTGCAATTTCACCCCTCTCTGGGAAGAAAGTGCATAGAATCAACCACTGGGAGAGTAATGCTTTCGAGTGTACCTATATATGTATATATGTTGTATCCAAAACAATGTGTATTTTTATGTATATATATATATACATATATATATATATATATATATATATATATATATATATATATATATATGTATATATATATATGTATATAGATATATATATATATATATATATATATATATATATATATAATATATATATATATATATATATATATATATAAGGATCACTCAGACGAGTGGTGGGTTCTTATATCGGTCTCTAGGTGGAGAAATAAAAGACAAAGTTGATAGGCTACTTTCTCTATTTTGAAGACGTTTCGCTTTCGAGTTTTGAAAGCATCATCAGTTCATCTAAAAAATTTTTACAATATGAGAACCACACAATCATGGAAACGATGTTAATTGTTACCTTAAAAAGATATGTAGCAGTCAATGTTATTAACAAACATGTGAATGAAACTAAGTAAATGGACATAATACGCTGATCTTGTATAAACAGTTAAGCAACTAACAACATATATGAACTTGTAAAAAATTAGCACAGCAAATGACCATGTGGTCTAAAGTAAATTCAATGTTATTTAATGTTAATAAGTGAGTAAGAACCAAGAAAATCATAAATAACTTCCAACTATTTAATGGATATTAAGCTTTGATTTTAACTTTAGGTAGCATTTTAAGTGATATTAATAAAATTATAAAAAGTAGTAAATATGAAGTTACCGATCAAAGCCCTATGAATGTCGCCGAGAAAATGGCGTTTAATGAAACAGGAACGAACTAAACCGCAAAAAGACAGCCAACCTTGAGGTCAAAAATACTTTTGACAGATCAACAAGGTGTAGATACCAACCCAAATTTTGGGCGGTTAATTTAAGTTTAAATGAGTTTGGATGACTACCCGGTTGCAAAGGACAACACAGTGAAAAAAGTTGGTAGTGTAAAAACAACTCCCCTCACTAATCAGCCCAAATTTACAAACAGGAGATTTTCATTCAACCTCATAAGTATGTAATGACGTTAATCATTATGGCTAGTTAAACAGCCAGGTGATTAACGATTTGATAATTTCCAAACAGCCCAAGGTTCAATATACTTGGAACTGTGATTTGCAAAGGATTCTATGAATCAATTACAATATTTGTATTATTTTAATATAAAATTGGAACCACTAATTAAAGTAATTAGTGTATTGAAATGCAATGTGGGTTGCATATGTAATAGTACAATTAAGTAAAGACTATTAAGTTATTTTATTGATATATTTATTTATTTTATTTCTATTTATGTATATAAATTATTTTATGAAAAATGGAAAAAGGTTCAACTAGTACACCTTATATGACATTAATGTAGTGAAAAGATTAAGTAGCCTAATTCTGCAAAATTAAAGCATGATATATTTGGCTCAAGTTACTTATGTCAGTTCTCTTATTCAACGCATTAGGGTGTTTTAATATTGAACACATTTCCAAAAACTGTCTTTTAGCTAGATTGCGTTCAGTGGCAAGGATCTTAACTTCATTGAAATCCACTTCATGTTTTGTATTTATCGCATGTTGTGCTAGGGCACAAGTGTGTTTCGATAAATTAATGTCGCTACGATGTGAAGTGAGACGACCTTTTAATGATCTACCAGATTGACCAATGTAACATAAATCGCACTTAGCGCATGGAATTTTATAAATTGTGTTCACTTGTTCCAAAGTGGACAAGGGTGTTTTAGTTTTAGAGAACAAATTTCTAACAGTTTTTGCATTCTTAACAGCAATTTTAACAGGTATATTATTTTGTTTATACAATTTAATAAGCTTCTCAGTAACTTGAGGGAAATAAGGTAAGGAAGAATAATGTGTGATAGTATTCTCAAGAACGGTATTATGCTGAACAGTGCTATTTATAGAATTATTAGAGATGTTTCTAAGTTGGTCACCATCGGGTATGTCATAAATTGAGGATCCATAACTATGCGAATAAAGGTATTTATTGATGATAGAGGAAGGATATGAATTCTCTATTAGAATATTTCTCAATAACTTAAAGGATTCCCTTCGATTAATTGGATGTGTCAATTTATTTAATCTGTAGCTCAAAGCTTTTATAAGGTTTAGTTTGTATTTCATGGGATGACAGGAATGGTAGTTAAGGAACCTATTAGAGGCCATTGATTTTCTATACCAACTTGTGGTTAGGGTGTTGTCTCCCATTCTGATGACACGCATGTCAAGGAAGGGTATACTATTGGTGGTAGTGTCCTCAAGTTCAACAGTGAACTGTAAATGAGGATCAAACTCATTAAAGTGGGATAGGGTACCCTGAACCTTGTCAGGTGGTAGGGCTAGTAATAAATCATCCACATACCTTTTAATAAAAGGGATTTGAAAATCCAAAAGACCCAAACGGTCAGAAACCAAATCATCCAATACGAAGTTAACTAGGATGGGAGAGATTGAGGAACCCATAGGTGTACCAAATGTTTGAAGGTAAAATTTGAAGGACCGATATAAGAACCCACCACTCGTCTGAGTGATCTTTATATATATATTTTATTGACGGTCGTACTCCTTTTTCCGATATATATATATATATATATATATATATATATATATATATATATATATATATAGTATGTATGTTTGTATGTAAGGCAGGTGTAGGTAATATGGCCATGTACAGTAATATGGCCATCCAACAAATTTCTTACTATTTTTATGTTTAAACGGTAGAACTCTTGATATTAGCATAGTAATACACATTTAGTGCCGAAATTGTTAAACAGATGGTGCCACATTCTCTATACGTCAGAACCATCCACCATTGTTGTGAAAACTCGTCATTGCAGAAGCTGGTTATTAATTTCGTAATTTTTAAAAAAATCTTAACTGAATCTAATAGGTAAGTTTTTAATATATTAATTGTACTTACATGTTTCGTATACCTTCAAAATCATGTACATGTTCTTATTTTATTGTATAAATTTTGATTTAATACATTTTTTCTTAGACAAAATATCAAAATACAGTGTTGAGTAATATGGCCAGGTGAAAAGTAGGGTTATATGGCCATGGCCATATTTATCTTACGTGACCATATTACTCTACAATGCATATTTTGTTTGCTGTATTGATATTATTTCTTTTATTACAGAAATAAAAAATGTCCCAGTATCAGCGCAGGGGCCTACGAGGCAACTGGACGGAAGAAAATTTTTCAGCAGCTTTAAGAGCGGTGGAAAATGGGACCACAGTTAACACAGCTAGTCGTACATATCACATCCCAAGGCGGACACTTCGACGATATTTAGAAAAGGGAAAACAAGTAAAGTCTTGTCTAGGGCGAAAGACTATACTTACAAATGCCCAAGAAGCAGAATTAGTTCAACGTATTATCCGTCTTTCGCAAATTGGATATCCACTTACTGCAATGTACCACTTGTAAGTGTGTATATCGGTTTACAGAACTTAATAATATCCCAAATCCTTTTCAAGAAAACAAAGTAATAGCTGGTCGTTATTGGCTACGTGGTTTTATGAAGCGCAATCCTCAAATCAGAACTAGGAAAGCACAAAACTTAAATCCGGCTAGGGCATAAAAGCTTAATAAATTTATTGTAAAAGATCATTTTACTAAGCTGGAAGGTATTTTAAGAGAAATGAACATACTTGATAAGCCCGAACGGATATATAATGTAGACGAGAAAGGTTGCAGGTTAACACTTCACCACCAGCAGAAAGTTTTGGCGCAAAAAGGGGCTAGAAGAGTACATGTTGTTGCAAACGAACATGGAGAAAGTGTTACCATTGTTTCTTGTGGTAATGCTCTCGGTACAGCAATCCCTCCAATGGTACTTTTTAAGGGTAAACGTAGTAAGCCAGAATGGGTTGACTCACTACCTCCAGGTGCTGTTGTTCAAATGACTGCAAATAGTAGCGTGAATATTGAAACGTTTTCAGTTTGGCTTCAACACTTTTCAAAATTTAAGGTTTCTGGTCTATGTATTATCATATTTTATGGTGCAAGATACCATTTGGATCACACTATTGTAGAAACTGCCGAAAGATACGAAATTACTCTCTACTGTTTACCTAGTAATACTACTCGCGAGCTCCAACCAATGGACAAAGCTATATTTAGAGCCTTTGTATATTACTGGGATGATGAAGTTATGAAATATTATTCTATTCATAGCGATCGTGTTATTACCAAACAGAGATTTGGGGCAATTTTTTCTACAGTTTGGGACAAAACAATGACACCATCTAATATAAAATCGGGGTTTTCTTCAACGGGAACTTATCCATTCAACCCAGAAGCTATCCCAGAGATAGCGTTTGCCCCTAGTACTATCACATACCAACATCAGGAAGATAAAGAGAATGTCACATTATCAGAAACTAACGCTTGTAATAAAGCAGATGATTTATCCATGCCATCAACTTCAGGCATTCAACAAAAATATTACCGTTGTCATTCTACTTTGGGATTACAACCGAAAAATAGCTCAAAAGAAGTATGTCTGGTCACTGATAGTAGTAACTCTTGTCGTCCCTCTACTTCAGATTTTCAACCGAAGAATCGCCCGGAAAAACCATTTCTAGTCACTGATAGTAGCAACTCTGACTTATCCTTTAGTTTGCATGATTCTAGCAGTGATGAAGTTATTGATTCAGAAGACGATCACAGTGATTTCT